GGTCCCGATTTTCACGGGTCATGGCTGACCCGTCCGTCTTGACACCTCTACAAAAACCACATGAAATAACACGTGTCAGCTACCGGTTAAAATGGAAATGCTTTTGGGAGCAACTATTTTGATTTAGGATTTTTCTTATTTTTGTCTTAATTTTTGAGATTATTACGGGATATTAGAAGAAGTTGAAATATTGCATTGTTAATACAATTTCAAACTTCTCACAGCCTAGTTTCCCCCATCCCTAAAAACATACGAAATAGCCAACTGTAGCGAAAGTTACAATTCGTCGAATTAGGCCCGATTTTTCTTATTTTTGTCTCAATTTTTGAAATTATTACCGGATATCAAATGAAATCAAAATATTGTATTCTTAATACAATTTCAAATTTCAAAATGCTCACAGCCTAATTTCCTCCATTCGTAACGGCATGCGAAACAGCCAACCGCATCGAAGGTTACCACTTGTCGAATTAAACCGTTCCAAAATATATAAACAGTTTTTCTTATTTTTATCTCAAATTTCGAGATTATTACGGGATGTCAAACGAAATAGAAATATTGTATTCTTAATACAATTTTCAAAGTTCTCATGACCTAGTCAAAATATTTCGATTTCGTTTGACATCCCGTAATAATTTAGAAAATTTAGACAAAAATAAGAAAAATCGTTTATAAATTTTGGAACGGCCTACTTCAACGACTAATAACTTTTGCTACGATACCGTTTCGCAGACCGTTAGGAATGGAGGAAATTAAGTTGTGGGCACTTTGAAATTGTATTAAGAATGCAAGTGTAGTACAGAACGAGTATCCAATGGTTTATTTGGGCCTGAGAATGAATATTGTCTTCATCTTCAAGTAAAACCAAACATGACATTCAGGTTTAGCCATGCTGACCATTTAGTTATTACAGTGGAAAGTGGGATCTGAAGGTACGGTACAAGCTGGGCCATCTATTTTGTTGTGGTCAAAAGTAATGGATTTCAGGTTTCAATGAGGGGGTATTTGGGGCTTGCTACAAGATGCCTCGACTAGCGAAGTTTATTTTTATTATTTTTTAAGTACTTATGAGTTA